GTCGATAGATACTAAAAAATATATCGTGTTATCTGGCAATAATAGCAAGCAATAGATTCGGGTATTGGTAGAAATTGGATTGAAATTGAATTGAATTTTTGGATTTGGAATTGAGATGGAAGATTTGATAATTTAAATTAGAAATGCACCATCTTGCACTTAAAGCGAGTGGTGGGGAATGGATGATGGACGCCGATCAAGATCCCATGGTTCCGTCGTCCCCGGGCCATCGTGGTCCCTGGTCTACTTAGTCAGAGGAGGTAGTCGACCCAAACCTGACAGAAGGATCTTGTCGGCAGCCATGGGTTCTTCGTCCAAGGGGACCTGTTGACCGGGTTGAATGTTTGTCTAAGGGGACAAATTTGAATCCACCTAGCTGACAGAGGGCTTTGTCCCTATCGATCAAATCTATTGATTCATATCTCAAGGATTTAACGCCATTAAGGAGCGTATTGGCTCTGGCCATAACCGCTATCTGTGGTGCCATTTGGCGGCAAAACCATCGGTTCAAAGGCTCGGTCATAACCGTTTACCTGCAGTGCCATTTGGCGGCGAAATGCCGTTAGAGGACACGTACCACTTCCTTACTGCAAGAGATTATTTGAGAATGGATCTAGTGATATTTTCGACTAGGCATTTGGCTCTTTGTGAGCTAAAGTAAATTTTGATTTGTCACCCCGACAAACTGTTGCGGATGTTTTTGTGCTTTAAGTATTTTGAATGGATTTATTTCATTTTAAATATTCTTGAAATTTTGGGATTTTGAGATTTTTGGAATTTTCTGGGACTTTGGGTGGAGCTTTGGAGTATTTTGAAATGAATTTTGGAGACATTTAAAAAATTTGGAACCCCTCTGGTTGAGATCTGCATTCAACACGGCATCATCGGGTGTTTAGGGTCATTTCTCTTTATGGATTGAACCTTGTCGACTCTATCGTGCTGTCGACAGATGAGTATTTGGTTTCGTAGGCTTTATGCCCTCATCAGTGAATTCTCTTTGTTATAGCCTTAAAAGCCTAATATGAATGTTTAAGAAATATATCGTCTAGCAATCGTATATTTGTTTGAGAGTTCGAACCTTGTCGACTCCTATTGACCCGTATAGAGGATCGGGTTCGAACTAGAATTCACTTGTCAACTCCGCGCAGCATCCTAGACGTCACGTGTGTACCAATAACACGCTCCGCGGGGCCCATCGGATTGAATTGTACTTTCCCTTTAGTGTACCTATGTGTATACAAACTATTGTGCACGTGTGGGGATATTCTTGGAATAGACGCCTTCTGTCTGCTTGTACGAATGTTGCAGATCTGGTGGCGTGCATAGCACTTCTGGATCAGTTGTTTGCTCTTTTACAGTAGACTGTCGTGCACTATTTGTTGATTTTTGTAGACGGATCATAGTGCACTAACTAATCTCCTGCTTTGTGTTTGCAGTTTAGCTATTTAGTATTTTCCTTATGGACAATAGATGGGGTATACGACGAGTCTCCCATAATGACTCGTAGGATCTTGCATTTGATACAATCATTTTTTTGTATTTTGTTTGCAAAAGTATATTGGGTGTAGAATAGATCTCCTACAATAGTTCGTAGGAGCTTGCATTCACTGGGTATTCTCCC